CAGAAGCGAAGGGAGGGGAAAAAATGGAGTAAAATATGTTGAAAGGTTAAAAGTTACAGTAATAGTGAAGTAAAAAAAGAATCCATTTTATACAATTCTAGGGGAAAAGGACTATAAAAATGTTAGACTTGATCTTAACGTAACGTAAGGGGTGCATATACATTTCGAATCATACTGATCCAAGATTACTCCGATCGTTCAAATCCTGTATACAAATGAATTATAGCGACCTGAACAATCTCTATCCGCATATACAAACGCTATCTGGGATCAACTGGATCGCGATTAAACTAATCAGAGGAGGATATAGAATCGTTTGGATTGGATAAAAAAGATTAAAGATGGCGACCTACATGGTTAAAGTCAAACTGATAATTGACGGCAAAAAAAGAAATATGTTTAACTGTCTACAATAAAAAGTATTTAAAATTTATAAATGGTAAGTAGAGACATTATTAAAATATGGGACTATCCATAAATTATGTCCGCATTTTTCTTCAAATTTTAATCCCTCTCCCCATCTTGTCCAAGTTTCCGTAACCCCTTCCCCCCTTCGGATGTCCAGCAAAACTCAACCACTCTCAAAATCTTTTTAACGAAATAAAACGAACGTCCATTGAACTTGAACCCTACCCCTCCTCTACGTCCGACTTGTCATAACCCCCCGCCCCCTTCCAATGTGGACGTCATTTATGGGCAACCTCTATCCAATAAATTGAGAAGAAAAAAATAAGTATTAAGAGAGTTTTGCGAGATTGTACAGTACAGTAAGAATGCATGGCGTGCACTCTCCCATTTTGCCATTATGTGAGTAATTTTATTCACGGAGTAAATGCGATTCGATCCTACTTGTATATTTTCCACCAACTAACACAAGATAGAAGCGATCTGTATCACGTGACCAAGACTGATCAGATCTTGCAGATCGATTCCTTTAAAACGAAAAGTATTTGCACCCAAGTAGTGCCTGTCGAACTCAATAGAATTATTAAAATTTAAAGCTATGTTTCTTGTGTGATGACTATTTATAACAGTTTTCTGTGCATAGTAATACTACAATGTCTTTACAAAAATGATTTAATTCTAAAACTCTTATTATGTTTTGAATAGTTCTACAACTATTACTGGGTAACCCACAGTGCCGGCCCGAGGCAAGTTTTAGGATGGAGCGAGATCCTATTATGGCGCCCCCTTGGTTGCCCCTAATTTATACACTTTAATTTTCTTTACCACTGAGGCGCCCTTTAGGACTTAGCGCCTGGAGCGGCTGCTCCGTTCGCCCTATGGTAGGGCCGGCTCTGGTAACCCATTAATTACGTGTACAGTTCAAATTGAGGGAGGGAGGAGGTCGAAGCAATGTCTACGTTGACTATTTTAGTGGTGCAAATAATCAGAAAATTTTTGCAGAACATTTCTTCAATGTCAGGGGGCCCGTGAAGTATTGTACACGTAATTATTGGATGCCCAATGTTAATGTTAACAAATTTAAATTCCTAATATATTTTAAAAGCATAAACGACCCAGAATATCTTCATATCTTTTTAAATCCACCTTCAACGACATACATCATAATTCTAAAATTTCCTAAAAGAAATTTATTAGCCTATATAATTGTATATACATTAGTCTCTCTGTAATCCAACACACAGTATATCGGCCGGGCAGATGTCGGATTAATGGACTTTATATGTATGTACAATATAGAAAAAATCGCACTTCGTTCACAAGTTAGTTTATCGTATTAATCACAATTGTATGTTTTGCCGGCCGCACGAACAACAAACAACTAGCGACTGACAATATAGTGGCCCACCAATGGCCAAGCGGTCTTTGTACCCTGAACACTGGGAGCTCGTGGAGTTTTCCGGGTTTTCTCCATGTCTGTAACGCCTAAATAGGAGCCAGTTTCCCTTAAAACGACCTCCCGGAAGGCATCCCCCTAGGCAGATCGCCCAAGTGTTGCGTTGCCATAACTTAAAAACGAACTGACAATATAGGCTTCACGTACAAATCGGCAAGTAGTAACACGAAAATTTCACATGCGCCGTCTTGGGGAATGTCGAGATTATACTGTATTATTTAAATCATATATGCAAGTACCATTATCTATTAAGCTTCCGAATCGAATCATATGCTTCCTATGCTTTGCTTTCTTATACTAGAAGAACTTACCAGAAGATGGCGAAGTATTCATTCTATAAATATCCTTCGGTGTCATTTTATCCTCGCGCCTCAAGTTAAGACTAAATACAGTAAAATTAAGAGGCTTAAACGGCTGTGTCTATGACTATAAAGGTTAGTGAGCGACACTTGCAACTTGTTAATTAGTTCCGGATTTGTTATTCTCCCTTGGGTACAGTTGTTTACCACATGGAAGACAATAACGAAGAGGAGGGCAAAGTGTGTTATAGTGAAGTGAGATTTGTAGGACTAATAGAAAAGGAATGTTAAACTCAAATTTCGTTATATGTTCGCTGTATATTGTTCACGTGCATTAATTTTTATTTAATAATTTATATTAAATAAAAACTATATCACTAGAGTACTAAATCATTAAAATGTTTGTTTAGATTTATATTTCTGTATACCTATAACGAATTTTATACATACTTTAAAACAACTATGGATAAGTGATTAGGGGCTGCCCATAAATGACGTCCACACTACAACGGAGGGAGGGGGTTCAACTTTAATGGACGACCGTTTTATTTCATTAAATTTTATACAGTTTATGCATTTTATTATTCATAAAGTGATAAAAATTTTGAGGGTGATTGAGTTTTGTTGAACGTCCGAAGAAGGAAATGGGTTACGGAAACTTGGACAAACTGGGACAATGGGGAGAGGGGGAGTAAAAATTTTAAGAAAAGTGTGGACGTAATTTATGGACACAAAAAATTAAGTTCGAATTTAAAAAAGATTCTGTTAATATAATTATTGAATTTTTTCTAATAAAATGCTATCATCATTTGATTATGTTTCTAACTAGAATAACTTATTACTGATTAAATTGAGTTGAATAGAGTTTCGTGTGGAAAGAAGTTCGCTAACCTTCACCTGACCTTGTATATTCGGATGTTGCAATGTGCCGGACTTGACGATACGATCGAAAAAAGATAATCCAAATTAACTGTTCTACTCGAAAGACCAAACGTTTCGAAAAAAAAATTCTACTCACCAAAACATTTATTCAATTTTATTAATTATAAACCGGCAAGAATTGTAACATTGCGTGCACAATATTAAAAGTCGTTAGTTGTTCTTGAATAAGTTCTGACCTTCGTGTAAAATTTTTATCAAATATTTTCGATTATCTTCGTCTTCGGATGAGTGAATCACTTCTGTAATGCTTCCACATTACGGAACATCGTTAATTTATTGATAACGTCAAAGAAGGTGAAATCACAATCAAGGTTACGCTGATATGACAATTACAATGATAATTAGTGTTTCTTCATTTGCATACTTCTCATAGCTTTAAAAATTCCACATATCACTGCACGTACGAACTTTTTTTTAATACTTTTTATCTAGCAAAGCGGAGATAAAACTGATACTGTAATTACGTATAATATAAACGATGCTACGACTATAAATCTTTTATTCTGTCGTAATAATACTAACAATTTTATCTTGGTTTTTTAACACGACAAATTTTTAATGGTCAATTTAAACATAACAGGTATTGTGAAAAGGGTACATACAAAAACTTTCTTAATAAAATAACACCGTTTTCTTGAATTAAATGCTATAAATAAAATTTTGATTTTAAATTAAAAAAAAGAAAAATCAGCTGATAGTTCGTGCAATTAGAATAGTGACGATATACAGCGTAATAGTTCAAGGTTCTGACCCAAACTTAGTTGCCAACAAATCATCCAACTCATAGATTTATGTGAAGCTACAGTATATCTGTTTATCTTCAGCAAATAGCTCACATTACGTCATGTGACTATACAATCGTTACGCTCGAAGAAAACTACACGATTAGAATTAAGCACTTAAACATACTAATTTATTAGTTAATTCTAGGCCTTCCATCAAATCCACAAGTTTTACTTCACATAAAAATTACCCCACGAATTTAAACAGCGCTAATAAGCATGACATTTGATCAGAATATAATTCGGAAAACACATAAAATTGAAAGGACACGAAACCAATTTCCTAACATATGTAAATAATTAGTTTATAATTTGTATAAAATTTGGCTGATTATATTTTGATTATGAGTCCAATAAAACTGGCAAAAGTTGAAATTAATGATTCATTATTTTATTCTTCGATAATTAATTTTCATATATTTTTTTAATTAAAATTATTTTATCGAATTTTTTTTGGACGATCGAACAATAAACAATTATTTTTTTAGATGGCAAATATTTATTCTTATCGTATAATCGTTTAATTGTAAATTGCGGAAAGTAAAACCGTCGCTCAATCGTCACATTTAAGTGTTATTTCATTTTTATCGCCGGTTTTTCTTGAGGAAACTTTTACTGCATTTAAACTTGGTTATCTACCAATTATTTCTACGAGGTGTAAACTGATTTATGTCGTCTTTTTATTAACTTATGTTGAATTTACGCTAGCATTTGGCCCGTCTGTATCAATAACGCACTCAATTAAAATTTATTTGACGTGTAAAATAACTAACAGATTACAATGTTTGCCCATAAATTTTGACAGACAAGCGGATAAATGGTGTACGTTTTGAGTCATTGCTTAGGTAAACAAAGTTATATAGAGAAAAACACGAAGGATATATTTCTATCTTCAATCAATTAGAGCAAATCAATGTTGAGGACGAAATCACGTGGTTATACGCGTCAAAAAATCGTGCATTACTTACTGCGTTACGAATTTACCTATTGATACACCGTTACAAATATAGAGCGAAGTAAACAATTACACAAGTGTAATTAATTGGATACTCACTGCGAAGAGTACAACTCGACCGTACGAATATATTTCAAAAGATATTTTTACATCTGACTCACCTGAATTGGGCGATAAGGGAACACCGTTGTTATTTACTATGACACTCTCTAAATGCGCTTGTGTTAAAAATAAATCTGCACCCATAATCCCCATCGATGTATGGGAATGCTCCACATTCATCATAACATCCGATTTCCCATAAACGCTCGATCGATTCCGACGAGGAATGGCGATTTTTGTAGTTACGTTACAGACACGTGATAAACCAACGGACAGAGCGCGCTCGGGACGCTGGTGATAGCATCCCATCATGCACGCTTTGCTTATCTAAAAACATTTCCAGTTGCATTTGATCGTTATCAGTGTAATGTATAAATGACGACATATCTGATTCTGTACGACGACTACGACTGTATCTTTTATAGAAAAATATTCTTTATTATTCAATTATATTATACAGTTAATTATATTTATTGAGTATACACAAGAGTATCTGTTGATTTGATTAACTAATGAAATTTTGTGTGTCACCTATATAAAATTATGGATATTATTTGCCTTTATCCGGTGGATAAGTTAAATTCATTATCATACTCGCGGTATGCATTAAATGGCTTGTAGTATGTATCAAAGTGTAATCTATCGAGCATAAAATTTTCATTTTATCTTCTTTCTTTTTTTTTTGAATATTAACACTTATTCAGTCCCAGCAAAACATCGCCGTAATAGGAATAATGATAACTGATAACTCTCGCCTCTACATATAATTTATATTTTGTGGAATGTTTGTTTTTGTATGCTATTTTACATTGTTCAACCAGGAATTCTCTCTTTATTTTTAAAGTTTAGTGATAGATCTCACTTTCCCCAAATCTGGAAATCCTCCTTGGAAAGCTACTTGCAAGACATCATCAACACAAGAGACAGAATGGATGGTTAAGTCAGCTAAAGTGGTAGAAGGAATTTCTGAAAGGTCTTTTTCGTTTTTCTTTGGTAATATAACATGCTTCATTCCAGTTCTGTGTGCAGCTAATATTTTTTCTTTAATTCCACCAACTGGTAAAACTAATCCTAATAAAGTTATTTCTCCTGTCATAGCAAGACCAGATGATACTAATCTTCCTGTAAACAATGATATTAAAGCAGTAACAATAGTTACTCCAGCAGAAGGCCCATCTTTACCAACAGCACCAGCAGGAAAATGTATATGAATGTCTGTTCTCTCCATCAGATCTGTACCCTTCTGAACAGGAATTCCATACTAACAAAGAATATTTTCATTATATATAAATCAAAATGTTAATTAACCATATCAGTTCTTCATTATGAAAATATAAGGATAATTAGAATAATTAAATGTGTGATGAATCACATCTAATATCTCATCTAATTTTATT